ACAAAAAAACACCCTTGATGTTTTTACCTTATCAAACAGAAATCCAATAACGGGTATCTCTTTCAATCTACAAGCAATCTAAATGGACCAAAGACACACAATCATGATCAGCAATCAGGAAGCTGGCAAATCAATATCAACTTGGTAACGCATTTTTACCTCTAAATTTCTATAACTGTAGTTATGAAATTTATGTGAATCATTGAAAGGAGAGTTAGCATCCTGCACCTTGAATGTTGAAAATTATAAAAATTCCTATGAATTGTAACCAAGAATTTACTGTTTAAAAAAACTCACCCTGTGGGGAATCTGGTTGATCTTTGAGACAGAACTGTCGACCTGAAGGAAAACAGAGAGGAGAACCATCTGTAACAGTTTCCTTTTGATCCTTTAACCCTTAAGAGTGAATGGCTTATAATTTCTTTTTACATTATTACCATTGAATCAAATGTAAATGATGATGGAAAAGTAAAGAAATAAAGGAAATCATCCCCAATTAAAGGAGCTCCTGGTTATCAAACAAATTCTTGTCAGTACCATAGGAAATGTAGAGAGAAAGTGTGGAGAATATATATATTAGGAAATGCTTGTGACACATTGAGAAGGAAAAGTAGGTTATTAATGACTAATAAAGTTCAAAAGTCAAAGCATGTGGTTTGATTGTGGATGTGTTGCGAGTTTGACTTTCAACAAACACAGGTCTGTTATACACCATTGGACCCCAGCCTTCTTAAGCCATGCCCCTCTAACATAAGTCAAGATTGACATCTGATAACATGGCTATTGCTTGATCAACAAACAGATACCTTTTGTGCCAGAAGGTACGATGACAGTTATCCAAATTTAAATGATCAAAACACCCCACCGTCATTGGCTGTTTACAAGACCCCTTCCAAACACTTCAATGTTGATAAAAATCTATGGCAAACTACTCTACAATGAATATCAAATTAAATTATAGAATTTTGATTTTTTCACTTCAGCTCACCATTTCATTCACTCTGCCTTTAAAATGGTTGATGACACCAAAATCTTTCTTGGTTTTGGGAGAGGGTATCTTTTGTGTGTTTTCTAAGAGAACAACAAATATGGCAATTCTCAGACTCATACTCACTTAACCCTTTAACTCCCAGATCAAATTTGTAATTCTCCTTACTGTCAACCATGTAATTCTTATAATGTTAGTTCAGAGAATTTAGTATCGGGTCAACTAATTATCCCCAAATTGATATTTTTCTTTATTCTCATCACTTGCCTAGTTGATACTGTATTGATATTGTAAGGAGAAATTCTGTTTTGGTCACTCATGGGAGTTAAAGGGTTAAGTTGGAGAGAAAAAGGCACAGCTATGGACTAACTCATAACCTGCAGATCTGAAAATTTAGGCTGCATTTATTAGGTTCATTTTTTGCAATCCACTTCCAATTTTTCCCCAACTCCATTCCCTTGCAACTGATTGTTGACTGTTTCAGTGGTGTTTTTCTTTTTTACCAGATGTAAGGTAGTTTTGCACATAAAACCAGTGTAAAATTAGCTACAAATAGTGTGATGTTACAGTCAAAGCTCTATTATATGGACCTCAATTATCCATTTTTTTATATTACCCAGACTATACAGACTTGATTCTCTGTTCCCATTTCTTTCTTTTGTTGTTGGAGAGCTTTAATAACTAGTGTGTAACTCTTTTTTCAGCAGATGTTGACAGTTTATGCACAATAATTTGATCTCATTCACACATAATTATATTGATAGAGAAAGAATATGTATTCCATTTAAAGTTGATCAGTGTTATTTTTGGCTTATCTATAATCACACAAGTATTTTCACTTAATTGTCTGGACTTTTCAGCCCAGTCTCCATAAGTCTAGATAATTGAGGTTCTACTGTATACTTTTAATAGACCTCACCAGTTTTGTCAGACCAGAGGTAAACTGTTCCTGGTGATGACAGAGACTGATGCCTCCTTGTCACACTTAATGGTGATTGATATGGACTGGACAACAAAGGAGAGCTTTGTCCTAAGAAAAAAAATTATTCATTTGATAACCATTATGAAGAAGTTCATACCAAAGTTGAAATGAATGCTAAGTTATCATCATTAGGCCTTCTTTTACTTAAAACAACTTAATCTTGCAAATAAACATGGATATGGGGATGCATCCGTAGTTGCAATTAACTTCAGTGATTCTGTGAAAAAGGCTTATTCCTTTCACTCCCTTGATCTAATTATAAATTCTCCTACTGTCTGCCATACAGTTCTTATGATGTCAGTTTGGAGAATTTGGTACTGGGTCAACTAATAATCCCCTACTTGATTTTTTTTTTCATTCTCATCTCATGTGTGCTTGATATTGAAATGATCTTGTCAGGAGAAATTCTGTATTTAGTAGGTCACTTATGAGAGTTGGATTAAGCTGAAGCCATGCAACCATTCCGATACTTCAATTGGTTCTGTTGAAATTTTTGGTCTTGTTAACTTGCCAAGAACTGGAATTACATCTGCACACTGTCAATTTGCTGGGTACTATTCCCCACTCCCACCTCAGACCACAACACACACTACACACCTGTATGTCCATTGGCATGTCCGTTGACGAGAGCTGGGCCAAGCACTTTAGGGTCCAACACAGGCTGTTGACGATGAGTTTGCAAAGAAACCTCTGCAGACAGTTTGTGTGTAAGAGATTCAATTAAAGACAGACACTCTGTGGATATACTTGTCCAGTTGTCTGGCCGACCACCTGTGAGAAAACATTTCTCATCACTACCACAACCAACTTTAAGGATCTAATATAAAGACACACTTAACCATCTACCAGACCTTGTACAGTGCAGGATTATAGCTAAGAAATTGGGCTGCTGGCTGAAATTTTAAGAGAAGCAGCTTAAAGATAGCATTCAATATCAAACTGTAAGTGTGTAACCTCAGATGTGCCCAATCAACAATTGTCACTTTTTATCTATCAAATTTTGCTGGCAGTTGGCTCTTAGCCACAACCCCAATAGGGTGCCTTTTGATAAATAACACCTTGTTGGGAAATTCAGAAAACTGTGAATACAAGAAACATTTCTGGAATGTGATTTTGTTTCAGAGAACAAGCTAATCGTACATGAGAAAACTTATTTAATAAGTTTTCTCATGTAAGCAGTGACAATGATAAATCTGTGATTTCTGGTTTCCTTGCAAATGCTGACCTCCTGGCATAGGTATGATTGATTAGGACACACCAAAAACAATTATGACATAGTCAGCCCTTTCATTTCCAATATCTTGATGAAATTTCTCCTTGCTATCAGTCATATATTTCTTATGAAGTTTGTTCTGAGGTTTGGTGTTGGATCAAATGATAATCACCTAGTTAATAGTTTTTTCGCTATTCTGATCAGTTGTTTGTTTAATAATATATTGTTACTGTAAGGAGAAATTATGTCCTGGTCACTCATGGGAGTGAAAGGGTCAAGCTGGTGGTGATTTTCTGAATTTGACAGAAATATGTAGTATAAGAGCAAACTGAATTATGGACATGTACCAGAATAGGAAATTTGCATTGTGAACAATAAGGACAGATATTGAAATAAATCTCACTTGGTTGACTAAGAGAGAAAATCTGCTTTCTTCTTGTCAGGCTAAACTGGGACAAATGTACCAGGTCAAACAAAGCAAGATACTGTGGAAGAAATAGAAAAATAAAAGTAAACACTGAAGAAAAATATACTTTATATGTAATGATTTTGATGAGTAGTCATTGGAAAGTCACACTGAAATGCAAGTATATTCTACAACTCTTAGAAGTGAGCAAATTGTATCCATTAAGTTTTATATTCACTTTTTACCCCTTTGACTACTACATGTACAAGTAACTAACAACATTACGCCTGAATCAAGAATAAAGGTAACAAGATTAATTAACCCTTTACACCCTAACATCATTATGTATATTCTCCATACTGTTCTTCCTACATTCTCTAGGTCCTAACAGGGAGGATTTGTAAAACCATCAAGAGCTTTCAATTGTTAGTTGCTGATCATTTCCTTTATTCTCATGAGTTAAACCTTTCATTCAGGGGTGATATTGTAGAACCTTGTCACTCTTAGGGATTATTAAAAGGAAATGATCGCCAAGTAAAGAAGTTCTCAATTGTTAAACAAATTCTCCTTGTCAGGAAATTTATAGAGAACAGTATGGAGAATGTGGATACTTATGTTAAGGTGCAAACATTTAGATGTACCTTTAATAATGGGATTGTTTTATTTTTGATCACTACACAAAGACTTTGGTCCTGTTGATGACTGAGTGAATACTCCACTGGGAATCTGTATATCTGAAATGAAATTTATCCAATAAAATCACAGAAATTAATGTGTACTTTATGTATTGTAACGTTACAATGCGTTATAAACTACATCATAATTTACATATTTACCTGTGTGTGGAAGATAATAAGAAGTTTGTTACCAAAGGTCCAAACAAACAAAATTAATGACCCAGTTGTCACAAGGTGCCAAAACTGGGAAAGGTTCAGAAGGCCTGCTATGGAGTTGAGAGGTGTCACATTTCTGCAAAGTGGGTTTAATAGATGATATTCTTACAATATAAACATGGAAAACAGAAACTCAGGTAAGTAGAATATTTAGCACTTTTCTAGAATGCTGTTCACCAAGATGAACATGCAAATTTACCTGTCCAAAGCAATATCTAGAATGTTGGCAGTGGCATCTCTGGGAATATTACCTGTGGTTCAGTAAACAGAAGGATGTCAATGAGATCAAAAACAGCAACTGATTTTAGTTTAGCATCTCTTTCAGCATGAATTATGGGATCTTAAACAGCACCAATAAAACATTAAATCAGGTGAACAACCATTGAAAGAAATGTGTGAGGAAAAAAACTTCTTTAAAAGCTTTATGCAAAAATGTTCCTCTCTGATTGATTACAGGGTTCATTTGTAACTCAAGAAAGCTAAGTATGGAACATGACAAAGAACCAATTGGGAATTTTTTGGGGGTTTTCAGACATATTGGAAAGAGGGGAAAGCAATAGTACTAAAGAAAAATTAATCCACCTTTTGCATCTTGATTGACAAATCAATGAGTATGAAAATGATTACAGGAGCAATTTTTTTAACTGTTTGGGAATCAATTTAATCCCATCATTATTAAAATTTGCATAACATAACTTGTTCTGGTAATCAATTTTGCTTTTATTTTTTAATGGCCATTAACGTGAAGACAAAAGCTAACATTCTAAGCTTTTAAGTTGGATAGGACAAACACCTACCTAAAAAGTAATACAAAAGGTAGTACCATCCACATGCCTAT